ATCGTTAAGATATGAATATCGATATCGATTCCATATCGATGTGATATCGTTATGATATCGAATCGACATAGATATCGAATCGATATCGTTAGAATTTTAAGGGTTTCTGTAAAGTAGTTTTTGTGTGATTAAAGTTTAGCAAATCAGAATTTACTGCGTTAAAAAATTGGATAATGAGCTAATTGTAGACTAGTTATGAGCTAGTTCTCAATATCTTCTAATTTTATTTGAGAGTCAATCACTAAAATTAACTGAAAATTTAGCTAAAATTATATTGCGAATTTATTATATCAATAAATTATGTCTCTAGTATCTTATCTTTTTAAGGTATAATTGGAGATTTGGATAACATAAATCCAAAAACTTATCTCAATTTATTACTGATTCAAAGCTTTCTATCATAATACTGGATAATATAATAGCCTTTAATATGTAATGATATCATTCACAAGCAGAAGAGTTATGATATTTTTTAAGTCTAATACATGCTCTTTTACAAGCTTTTTCAATATTGCTAAGATATAAATATAAATATTTTCTGATCATCCTATTTTTATTACTAAATTCAAAAAAAAATTAATAATAATTGATTGTAAATATTGTCTTTAGTAACACTATAATCGAAAAATAATATGTATAAAAAATAATTAACTAAAGAAAAAAATTTATAAGCAAATAATAATATGACAGTTAGAGTTAACATTATGGATAGAAAAGTGAGAAGTGATAAGAAAAACACAACTACAAATATTGTGATTATAAATACTTAACACTTCAAAAACTTTGTAAACATCTTAAATGCAAAATTTATATAAGCCATTATAAGACTGAAAGGATAAGATTACTTTTATTCAAGCATCACTTCAAGTGCCTATTCAAAAAGATAACTAACAGTCTATTCAAAAATCCTGATATTGAATAAAATTATCAGAATATAAAAAGAATATTAAGCATTTTTGAAAAGTTATAATAAAAAAATATGCTATAAACCTGAGAAGTTTAATAAAAAGTGTTTCTATTAGAGATAAAAAGAAAATGATAAATTATATACAGCTATAATTACATCAAAATTGAGTATGTTTTTAAATTCAGCATTCCAATATTATAATGGGATTTTGATAGAAAAAGAGAATATTATATAGATAAAAAAAGAGATTGTAGCTAAAATTCATAAAGAAATATTTTTAGAAAATGATAGTGATATCCTTATTTAAGAATCTATTTAAGTACCTATTTAAATTACTATTTAGACTTCTAAAATAATACCAATCCTTAAGAATGTAGATTTATTTGTTTCTGTAAAATTAGTTTTGCAAACTTTATAATAAGCAATACCAGACTCTACTCAAAAAAAATATGTTGTATAACTACAATTGCTTCGATTCTGATGTTTTGTTTTTTGTTTTTTATTGGTAATGCTACCTCTACTACTTCTTGTACTTGCAGTTTTATTGATTCAAAATTGGACATGTTTTTTAACAAAAAAAGAAACAGAAATTTTTTAAAAATGAGTTTCAATGCATGCAATTCGATATGAAATACTTTCATGTGATTTTATAAAGGGTAAACTATTTGTGTAATCAGATGCAACTAAAAATGTGCATACGTTAATTTTCATGTGTTTTAATTATAACCAGTTGTGCAAATCAGATGCAACCAGTTTAATAGCAAACTGATTTGCAGTTTTATTGAAATCATAACCCAGATTAGCAAAAAATCAATTTAAACTGAATTTAAAACTGGATTGATAAATCCAGTTCCAATCTCTACTCCTAATAAGTAATAAACAGAAAGATCTTGTCTTCATGAAAGATGAGTTTTATTGTAATAATTTACATATATAATTAATAATAACTTTTTAGAAACTAATTTATCATATAGGAACGTTTCCAGTAAAATTAAGTCATGAGGCATAGTAAATAATATGATCTGTAATGTGATTTTACTGGAAATGTTCTCATATAAGTATTCAACTTTATTATGTATATCATATATATCAGCTGAGGTTTCATTAAAGAGTATAGAGTGTCGCTTTTATAAAAAATCTGAGGCATCTATGTATTTTGTATTATCATTATTTTTAATACTAACAATAGAATTGTCAAGATAGATTCTATTATAGGCAGTATTATTAAATAGAGTATATGATAATAAAAATCATATCAGATTGGCCTTTCTTCTGATTCATACAATTTGACCCATAAGTTTCTCCAATTATTGACTTCTATAATATCAGATGATAAGATTGCTAATTTGATGAATTTAGAAAATGAATACAATAAATATCTTTACAATTCTTGATACATCAGATTTGAAGTGTATTAGATATACTAACAATTTCACTCTTTAGATAACAATTACTGTACTTATAGAAAATTTTATTTCTGGGAATAAGCTTTTTTTTATCAATACATTTTTTAAAGGTAATGAGAGAATAAGGTAATACAATGATAAGATAATACTTCCTAATACCAAAGCATTCTAAAACAATAATCTTATTTGCATTTAACTCTTCACCATCTAGTGTCTTCTCAATACTAGCATTAGGATTAGCTTTTAGGAAAGCTAATTTACTACTCAGATTGTCAGAAGCTACTTTCAGAAGTTTGGTATTATCGAAACCAATCTTACTTGTGAAATTGCTAACAGTCTCATTTCATCAACTTTAAGTTCAAGAACGTCTTCATTAGAATAATCATCTACAATCAAACAGCTTATAAAAAGTGTAATCATTTTTAGGTTAAAAAGATATCCACCAGAGAAAATTCTAGAATAGATTATTTGATTACGTCAGATTATTTATAATGTTGGCACATGACGTCATATGACATAAATTTCTATGTACTTTGTGTAATAAAATAATGAATTATATCGGATAAAATTCAATTGATTTCTTAATTGAACGATATCTGTCTTGTTAAGGCATGTAATTAATGTTATAATTATTGAGAAAGTAATTGTGACATTTTCAAAGGGACTTATGTAAAGTAATGGAACTGTCACTTTACACCAGAATCGGTTGACCAACAAACATTTGAACAATGTTGAGTGATTATTTTGTAGGTTCTTTAAAATGTAATAAATGCAATAATCAGGTGGCCATTTTAATATATTTTAAGGACGAAAAAAAAAAAGAATTAAATTTTTTTTTTCACGATGCTAAATTTATCATTCCTGGAGCGTATCGAGGGGAGATCATCACTTGGATAATTCTTTAGGTTCTAATTGGGCAGATAAAATCATCCGCCACAGATTTTTTTTGTTTGTTGATTGAATCATCATTTGATTGGTCCAACTATTTTAGTTTTTTGTTAAGGTAATTCTTCGTGAGTTATTCATTCGCGAATGATTTGTTTGCATATCTTTTATAGACGGAATTGATCAAAATACGTTGTAAGTGCTCGGTTGATTCAAGATCCACAAATAATCTTCATCAAATTGATATTCTTTGGTTTACAATTTAATCTTTTTTATAAAAAAAAAATTATATTTTTTTCATTATTTTAAAAAAAGCTTGTCACATTTTTCCTAGCAAAAATTATTTTAAATACAGGTAAATAAATAAAAAAATCTGTCAATAGTTCGATTCAAGATTTTATCATGATAAACTTGTTTGCGATCGTTTTACAAAGATATAAGGATACAATAGAAATAAATTACAATATTATACAACTATTTTTCGTTAATATAAATGATAATTAAGAAATAAGATAAAGAATAATTAAATAAAATATTAAGAATATGTGTACCAGTCGTTTTCATTGCTTTGCTTCATATTAGGCATTTGTATTAATAAAATCCAAATTAAATATCAAATTCCAATTCTTTCGACATATAATGATAAGTTTCATCTTCTAATAATTTAATTTTTTTATTGTCTTTACCTATAAAATAACTCAATATATTAATGTTGATTTTTAAATCATATAAATTTAATGAAATTTTATTAAACCGTCATTACTTTCAAATTTATCGCTTTCAAACTTTCGTTTACCTTTTTTTTCAAAAAATAATAAAAAAAAAGGTTATTAATAATTTTAGAAGATTTAAATGTGTTATTTAAATAAAAATTTAATTTTAATTACCAAAAGGCGAAGAATTTCGTAAACTTCTTGTGGATTCTGCGGAGTCCATCATGCTACTTAAAGATCTACTCTTATAAAAAGCACCTGGATTGTTTGTTGTTATAGGTCCAATTTCTGATGATTCTACAATATCAGGTAGATAACTTCCAAGTATAGGAATATTACTCCGAATGCTCTTAGCCGTTGGCCTTTTACTTGGATCAGAATCCCAACATACTTTAATTAGCTCAATATAACCTTTAGGTGCTACTATATCAACTGTTGGAGGACGTAAGCCATCACAAATATCAATAATCAGCTCAGTATCATGAGCACGATCCCAAAAAGGTTTTCTACCTGTCATATACTCCCACATAATCATACCATAACTATAAATATCTGAAGCTTTGGTGTATTTTTGCCCTTGAAGAACCTCTGGGGCCATATAAGGAATAATTCCATAGGTTTCATTAACGCCAGCTTCAGTAGCAGATTTACTTAATCCTAAATCACCTATTCTAATATCTTTATTTGATATCAAAATATTTCCGATGAATATCTGATAGGCCACTTGCAATATTATATAAATGATCTAACTTTGTTGACCAACAAACATTAAAAAAATCTTTAGCTATATAATGGGATAGATCCCCCTGTATTACAATAATCCATAATTATCACAAATTCTTTAGTATTAGGATCTTGCGTAATTCCGTAATACTAAATCATACGAATGTTGTTTCTCAATTGATAAGATATTGTAAGCTAATAAAATATTATTAATTTGATATAAAAATAAAAATAATTTAAAAAACCTTATACTGTATATACCTCGTTTAAATCCTTAGAAGTAAAGTTTTTAGAATTGTCAAGTTTCTTAAGAGCAACTTATTTATTAGAATTCCGATTATATTTTTTTTCTTCGTCATTCCAATCCTTTATTGGACCATCAATCCAAATAGCCTTATAAACTTTACTAAATCCTCCCTCACCAATAAATTCTATGGAACAAACTCCAATCTATACAAAGTTCCATCCAACTGCGTGTATTTGATAAAATCGTCAATAATTTTGTTTCCACTTGTATTAAAGTTTATATTTGCTTTATAACAAATACGGCAAAGATTATGATTCTCTTTAGAGGTTTTCTTTTTTTACATCCAATGCACTTTTTAATTTGCTTTTTATGTTTAAATTTTATTAATTGAGATTGATTCATGATTATTTTTACAAATTTGTCTCAACATTCAAAACAAACTATATATATTATATGTTCTTAATATGACTAAACATTTCGTAAATTTCTAAATTTCTCAAAGGAAATTCCGAATTTAAAAAAGAATTTCATCAATAATTTCTATGAAACTTCCAAAAGACAAAAGAATGATCTTTTTATTATACGGATGGGTTGTCCAAAATTCGCGCGTGATTTTATCGTGATCAACACATCGGCTAAAAAAAAAATTCACCTATGTATACTACCCGGGTTTTTACAAATTTAACCTTGGAGGTGGGGTATATTTTTATATACTGCTTTACAATTGAAAGACTTAGACTTTCATATAACAGTATCAAAGAAAATTTTATTCAGAAATGGGTACGCAATTTGAATTATTATGCAGGTACTTTTAAGGACAGCGGTTACACAATTTTTATTATTATATAAGATACTTTATATATATTCATGCTATTAATTAGAATTTCTATACATCAATTTTATATTTTTACAATTAATATAACGATCACATTAACAAGAGAATGAACAAGTATTATAATTTTAAGATCATAGATGATTGCAAAAGCCACATAGTTACCGAGCTTTTGACGGGAGTATAAGCCACAACATTTACCCGAAAGATCTAAACACATGAAATGTGTAATTCGTGCGTCTCGTAGCATAGCCACATAACATTTAATAATTAATATAAGGCACATATATTTTTATTAAGATTTGTATAATAAAAAAAGGAAAAGAAAATAATTACGTAAATAAAAGAGGAAAGTGAAAGGCGAAGTCATAATAACGGATATGGGAATCGATTGCGTTTATTCTCAAATATGTTCAAATAGTTTAATGGATTTTTTTTTTAGGTTGATTTTTATATTGATTTCTCTTCATTTACAAATTTACACCTCGAAATTTTAAGAATTTTTATAAACTTTCTTTAGAAAATAAGCATTTGGATAGATGCGAATATATTAATCAAAAGTATAAACACAGTATGAGTTGTGGATCAAGCGGGGTCACCTCCCTTGGAGGGATCGCAATTTTAGTGTCGGCAATGATAGGTCCGGGGCTAGTTACAAGTAAAGTTTCATAATTTTACGTTCAAATTAACAGTACGCAACAAATAGTAATTATTACTTTCCTATCGTAGTTCCGATATTGTTTGAAACCGCGGGATGGATAACGTGAGAGATATTTCAGAAGGCTCATTAAGTAATTTGTAACAAGATTGATTCATATTTTAATACGTATGTATTTGTAGACCGATGGTTATGTTCGGTCTGGCGATATTGTTAGCGAGTTGTTCATCATTATTATTAATAGAAGCATTAAGCTCGATACCAGGAAATGAAAGATTTCAGGTGAAATTTACCTTACCTTTATTAATCCAAGCTAAATTCGAAGCTTGACATTTAATACCTTTTCTTTTTAATATATATAGAAAAAGATAGAATTCATAAGTTTATTTAACATATTAATTGATAATAGGATGATAAGATTAACTATAGGTTTAATTTTATTGATATCAATTGAATCAATGATAATTGCAACGATAGCATTAACATCACAATCATTTGATGCAATGCTAATAAGGTTTACAGGCCAAACATGTGGAATTGGTATATATCCTGATGGTGGATGGATTTGTATACAAAATTTAGGAGATTATAGCAGTCCTTTTGGTAATAGATTAATGGCGTTTACTGGCGGTTTATTGGTAAATAATTTAAAAAAGTTTTTTTTTTTTGTTTTTTAAAAAAAATTAAAATGTAAAATGAAAAATAAATTTTTTTATTTTTAAATACGATTAGATTACGTTTATTATTGTTACACCGATGGCATTTTGTAATTTAGGAGAAAATGTTAAAGTACAAATAATATCATTTGTTACGTTAATATTCGTTGTTGTTACATGGTCAATTGCATGTATAGCGAGCGGATTAAAACCGGATAGGATTCCGTTAATTGGTACTGATCAAAGTTTATTGGTTGGAACTGTATTGTTCAATTATGCTTTTATAACAAACGTTCCAAGTATAGTCAACGATATGGTAAGTATTTAATGATTCCGGAATGAATCTTTTTATTTTCAAAAGTTGATTTCTTATTCTTCTTTTGTCTCATAGAATCGAGATGTATCGATAAGAAAAGTTATTTGGCTCTCAGTAGGAATAACAACGTTAACATACATTTCCATGGGAGTGTTAGGTGCAATGGCATTTCATCTTGATCTTTCTTCAAATATCATATCGGAAATAAGACATTCAAAAATACATAATATTTTTACGGAAATTGCCACTTTTTTATTTCCGTTTGGTGGGTTACTCGCTAGTATTCCTGTGGATACTATCGTTGTTCGATATAACTTGGTCAGATCCGGAATATGTGATTATCGTGAGTAAAACCAAATTTTCCTTTTTTTTCCTTTTTTCTTTTTGTTTTCAACGTTCGTATAATCAACTTCATTTTATAAAATTAGCTATGGCAGCATTTATTTCGTTGATCGTACCATGGTGTTTAGTAATACCATTTCAAACAGGATATTGGTTAAATATATTTACGAATTGGGCAAGTTTATTATTTATCAGTACCACGAATTTTATATTACCATTTTGGTTATTTTTTTTAAGTCATCGTAAAGCGAGAGTTTTACAAACATTAGAATTAGCAAGGGAAGCTTCTGCAAATGGGAAACATCATCATCATGATAAGAACAATGACAAACATGATCAAAGTGCGTTGTCACAAAATTACACTCGTGAATCAATTACTTTACCACCACATTCTTCCTCATCAAATAAAGAAGAGAAAGAATTATCATCCTATCAAACACATTTAGAAAAACATTTACAAAATCCTCAATTTGATAAATTAAAAAGGCCAAAGATGTATCGTCATATGTCGGCAGATGCGATGGCCATAGATGACTTGTCAGATATTTTAAATGATAAGTTAAGTAATAAAGTTACACCAACTGAATTATATGATAATGAGAAAAGTATTATACCATCACATACTTCCACTCCAAGGAGTGCAAGTACCGATGATGATGAATTTTATCATTTATTCAATTACAGTGGTGGTAAACCTTTTAGAGCTTTTCCCGGTACGACCAAAAGTTTTGGTCTAATCGTTTCTTATTTGTCAATTATTGTTAGTTTCATGTTAATCGGTGGTGTTATAGTATATGATTTTATAGGATTGGTTAACGGTAGGAATTATTTTGATTTGGATAGTAACACTTAAAAGAAGAGAAAAGGGAGAAATTTATGTTAGCGATATCTTTTTTATAAAAATGGTAATTTCATTTTTTTATTTATTTTAAAGTTGGAATCAATTTAATAAATCACATATTATAATATATTATAATATAAAATAGTAAAAGCAAAAAAAAAATAACTTTTTCTGGTATTACCACTAAAGATGTTATTAAAAAAAATATAATTAAAAAAAATTTTCCATACTTTTATATCATAGAATAAATTTTAGGTAGATGATCAACGGTTTTCTCCGACTTTTTTAGTCATAAAAGTTTTATGTAGTGTGGGTAAATCATTTATCTATAAACGACAAAAATATAAAACAACATTAAGCTGAACATTTTTATTTGCTTACTTTACACATTTCACATGAATTTGATGTGTTTTCTTTTTTCTCATGCTATGACCATTTAATTATTTAACTTATCCATCAAATAAGATAATAACAGAAAGTTTGTAAAAAAAAATCACGGATTGTTGATAATTAGAAGATGAGGATGACAGAGGTGGAATTATTAGATAAATTTATTAAATAAAAAACAAAATAAATAAGAGTTAGTTTGGTTAAATAATTTAATGTATAATTATAATGAAAAAAGCATAGATTTTATCTTACTAGAAAAAATAAAAAATTAACTTATTTTGATAAATATGAATCAAGTGGCTTTTTTATAAAGTTGCAAAAGAAAAATCACTAATAATTTAACATTATAAATAAAGTCAATTAAATTCAAATGATTTCTATAAATATTTAGATGATAATAATAATATGAAAAATGAAGAAAAAGTAATCAGCTTAATCTAAAAAAAAAAACTTGAAAATGTAAAATTTAAATTTAAAGAATAACAAAAACATTACCATATAACTATATATGCAACTCAAAGTATTTTAACCTAATAGTAATTAAAGTTGTTAAATAAAACTTAGGATTTAGCCAATTGTCTAAATGATAAAGATAAATTGGTAAAAAAGGTAAAACTATATTAAAGCTTATAAAATAGTGAAAGTATATCAAAACCTTAGTAAACTAAAGTTTAAATATTTAATCAAATCTAAAATGAATTTAAACAAGCAATCTTAATACTAATTATTATTATACAATATAATAATTATAGATAGATAACTTTAAACTATATAAATAATAATAATAATTATAAAAAATATGAAAAGATTTGGTAAATCTTAGCTTAGTTATTAAGCTGTGAGTAAAATTGCTAAATAAATTCTAAGGTTTAGTCAAATGTCTAAATGGTAAAAATAAACTTGATTAAATTATATTAAAATCTTACTATAAATCTACAAAATTCAAAAAAAAAGTAAAATTATATCAAAGCTTATAAAAATAGTAAAACTATATCAAAATCTTAGTAAAAGTTAAGCAAAATTAAAGGTTTAAACATTTAACCAAATCCAAAATAAGTTTAGATAAGTAATCTTACTTATACTAAAGCTCTTTCAAAAAGTCATAAAATGTTTATCTTTAAATAGGTGAAAACTAATGATAGCATTTAGAATAGTATTTTAATGAGATGTTTTATTAGTCTTTAGTATCAACAGAAGACTTATAGGTAAGATTGCTAGACGAAATCTAGAGTTTAGACAAACGTCTAAATAGTAAAAGTAAAACTTGGTTAAATTATATTAAAATCTTATTAAAAAATCTGTGA